GAGAATAAGAAAACATTCAGTTGGAAAGACATCTGCACATACATGTTTATTGCACATTATTTATAATTGCTAAAACATGGAACCAACCTAAGTGGCCAAAAACTGATAATTGGGTTGAAAAACTGTGGCATATATATATTATGGAATATTACACAGCTCTAAGAAACAATGAGATCCTTTCAACTCAAAATGAATGAATATATAAGACATAATGTTAAGCAAAGTGAGTCAGACTTTGAAAGACACAAATTGTATATCCCTACTTAGTTTGTTCTGAGGCAGAGACTGAGTGATTTGAAGATGTGAATGGAGAGGATGGATGTGGATGCTAGTGACAGCAACAGGCTCCAGATCTCCCAGGGTGACTGCAGCTTTGGTTGGGCCTGCTTCGTAGCTTTGTCTGCTCACTCCTGTTTCCACCCCCTCCCTTCAGCAGGTACCAATCTTAAGGGAGCTGCTCTCTAATGAACCTCTTATAAGCTGAATGCCATCTTGGGGTGTTTCCTTGGGAATCCCACAGCAACAGTATCATGGTTGGTGTAACCCCTTTCCAGCTTGATAAAACCAACCCTGTTAAAGACTCTCATATAGGGAACCAGCAGTTAGTGTAATGGCTATGTCGCTGGACTCCCACGTAGTCGACCACGGTTCGCGTCCTGGACCCGGTGGCTTAAACTCACGCTGGGCGCGTGTGCGTGCGTGCCCAAGATCCCAAGAGGTGAATGGAGGAGAAGGGATTGCAGCATGACCATCCCCCCAGGGGGTGATTTCTCGCTTTCTGTCTCTATGTCTCTCTCTGTCTGTCTGGAGAGCGTACGCGCCCTATAGCGAAAATCTCTCCAAAAAAAAAAAAAAAGACTCTCATGTAAAGGACTGCCCCATCCTAGTTCAGACCCTTAAGAGTCAGAGCTTAAGCATTCTAACTGGGGTTAAATAATATCTCATTGTAGTTTTAGTTTGCATTGCCCTTAAGATAAGAGGCTTTGAACATTTTTTTTTTCATATGGTTCTTGGTTATTCATAAGTCTCCCTTGGAGAATTGTCTCTTCAATTCATTTGCCCGACCTTTAATTGGATTATTCCTTTTTTTATGGGTGAGCTGCTTGAGTTCCCTATATATTCTAGATATCAATACTTATCTGAGGAATAATTTGCAAATATTTTCTCTCATTCTGAGGGTTGTCTTTTCACTCCAGCTATGGTTTCCTTTGCTGTGAGGAAGTTTTTTAGCTTGATGTATTTTAGGAACAATTTACTTGTATATTTTAGGGACCATTGACTGTGCTTTAGGGGTCTGTAAAGAAAGAAAGAACAACAAGTGTTGGCAAGGCTGTGGTGGAAATGTAGATTAATCCAGCCTCTGTAGAAAACAATATGAAGGTTTCTCAAAACTTTCAAACAGAACTTCTATATGATCCAGTAATCCCACACCTTGGTATCTACCCAGAGAATAAGAAAACATTCAGTTGGAAAGACATCTGCACATACATGTTTATTGCACATTATTTATAATTGCTAAAACATGGAACCAACCTAAGTGGCCAAAAACTGATAATTGGGTTGAAAAACTGTGGCATATATATATTATGGAATATTACACAGCTCTAAGAAACAATGAGATCCTTTCAACTCAAAATGAATGAATATATAAGACATAATGTTAAGCAAAGTGAGTCAGACTTTGAAAGACACAAATTGTATATCCCTACTTAGTTTGTTCTGAGGCAGAGACTGAGTGATTTGAAGATGTGAATGGAGAGGATGGATGTGGATGCTAGTGACAGCAACAGGGGAAAGTGGTTGGAAGAGAATGGGTGGTGGATGGTGGGTGTGAGGAAAAAGATTAGGACAGTCAGGTCTGCTTAAAAGTGTCATTTGTCGGGACCATCAGTTAGCATAATGGCTATGTTGCTGGACTCCCATGTAGTCGACCGCGGTTTGAGTCTCGGACCTGGTGGCATAAACTCACGCCGGGCGTGTGTGCGTGCATGCCCAAGATCCCAAGAGGAGAATGGAGGAGAAGGGATTGTGGAGTGGCCATCCCCCTGGGGGGTGATTTCTCGCTTTCTGTTTCTCTGTCTATCTTTCTGGCGAGCATACACGCCCTATAGCAAAAAACCTCTCAAAAAAAAAAATGTCATTTGTCTGTTAAACTAGTGTGCAGACTGTTTCTTGAATGCTTTATCAAATTATGAAAGTTCAAGTGCAGATAATTTGTATTTAGAGATTTTTGCTGTAGGGCATGTGCACTTGGATACACAGAGAGAGAGAGAGGAACAGAAAGTGAGAAGTCACCCCCGGGGGGAGGGGGAAGCCATGGCCACACTGCAAGTCCTTCTCCTCCATTCTCTCAGGATTTGGGGCATGCACGCACACGTGTCTGGCGTGTTTTAAGCCATCCGGTCTGGGAATCAAACCACAGTTGACTACGTGGGAATTCAGTGATGTAACTAACCATTATGCCATCTGCTGGTCCCTCAAATAACTTTTGAAGACTATAAATAATAAACTTATTTACAAGAGAAAAACAAAAACATTTTCTTTCTGTATTGTCTGGAAATAGTTCACTCTCGTGTGTATCTATTAATTTATTTGCCATCAAAAAGACACTTTGCCTAAAAGAAAGGACTAGTTTGCCAAATGTTTATAATCTTTTGTGAAATCATAGCTTATCATTAGCTTGTATCTGTAAGCTACTGTTTTAAATATTACCTGTATTTTTGGTACATACAATTTTATACTTTGAAGCTTGTACCTGTGACTTTGCAGCTGAAATATATTTTGCCAATGTTTTCTGAATGACTTGAATAAAGTTGCTGTTAAATTTTTTTTTTTTTTTAATGCCAGAGTTGAGGAAAATTACACTGACTGCAAGCCATACCATTCCAATATTAACCCTCTCACTAGTGGGGAGACAGAGGCCCAAAAAGGTAGGAATCAAGACGGTGTCCAGTCCAGGGCTGAACTCTCCTGTCCCAATCCAGTCCCTTGGTTTCTGTCTCTAGCCAGGGGTGCTGGACAAACTAGCCCAGAGCTCAGGCCACTCCCTACCCAGAAGCCTCTTTGTCTTTCTTCCTTCATCCTGTCTCAGAAGGCCTCATGATCTCAGGGAAGACCTTTATTCATTTGCTGAACACTTCCGGTTACCTCCTCCACGCCTACCCTGGCAACTTCAGAGCTGATGCCAACACATTATATCCTGGGAGAACTCACAGGCTGGTGGAGTCTTGTCAACAAACAAGCTTGGCACAGAGCAGACCCCAACCCCCGGGGACAGAAGGTCTCAGCCACCTGCTCAGCCCATCTCTGGAGTTCATTCTCTCCTGGAGAATGGCCCATTACCGGGTCCTAGCTCATTCTTTGGTGTCTCTGACCTGCCCTCCCCTCTGCTCCTTCTCTCTTCCCAGCCTCTCTCCCACACTCCTGAACCTAGGGAACTTTCCAGAGAGTCCATAGCAGAGGACGACCAGGAGCTCACACTGGTGTGGGACTGAGGCCAAGTCCTGCCAGGCCCCTAGGCAAGCTCCACATCCTCTCCTGTACAATGAGGTCTGTGCTTAGGTCCTAAGTTTGTCCTAAGCCCTTAGACCTTTCTTGTCCCTTCTAGAAACCCCTGCATTTTCTGTGCTCTCATGCCTCCCCACCTTGAACCAGGCCCTTTTCCAACTCCTGCAAACATGCAAGAGGACAGCTTCAGAGGTTCATGGAAAATGAGTAGTATGAAGAAACTGCGCATGGGTTTCAAAATTTTTTTACAAAAATAAATGCACTTTGGGACCAGAAGTTAGTGTAGTGGCTATGTCGCTGAACTCCCATGTAATCAACCGTGGTTCGTGTCTCCGACCTGGTGGCTTAAAACTCACTCCAGGTGTGTGTGCTTGCATGTCGAAGATCCCGAGAGGAGAACGGAGAAGGGATTGAGGCGTGGCCATCCCCGGGGGAGGTGATTTCTCGCTTTCTGTATCTCTCTGTCGGTCTGGTGAGCGCACATGCACTATAGCAAAAAAACAAAACAAAACAAAAAAAAACAACAAACTCTTAAAAATAAAAAAGAGAGAGAGAGAGAGAAAATAAATGCACTTTGGGACCAGCAGATGGTGTAATGGTTATGTTGCTGGACTCCCACGTAGTTAGACTGCAGTTCGAGTCCCAGAAATAGTGGCTTAAAATTCATTCTGGGCGTGTGTGCGTACGTGCCAGAGACCCAGAGAGGAGAATGGAGGAGAAGGGATTGCAGCATGGCCATCCTCCTGGGTGGTGATCTCTCTTTCTGTCTCTTTCTTCCTGGCAAGTGTATGTACCCTATAGCAAAAACCTAAAAAAATAATAAAAATGTATTTTAATTCCATTTTTCCCGTGAACCTTTTGAAATCCCCTTGAATTCACCACTCACGGCTTCCATCACATCACATCAGATGTCACTACCTCCCTGAAACCTGAACTGACCTCCCTCCCATCAACTGAACCTGCTTCCTCTGGGTTTGCCCTCTTGGCAGTTCTGTTTTCTAGACCTCATCACATTCTTCTTGTACCAAGATTAGTTTACTTCTAGGTCTGTCACCCACCTACTCCCACCTGGACTGCGAATCCAGGATGTGCATCTAACTGGCCAGCTGGCAGCCCTGACCGGAGGAACAGGCTACAGTTTGCTAGGTGCCGGCACTGGGTTGAGGAAATGGCCTTGGAAATAGGAATGGGTGCGTCAGGGCCAAAAGAGAAAGCCCTGGTCCAAATCCAGTACTGTCTGCACCCCAGGAACCACCGGCTCCCCTCTACCTTAGGAACTGCAAAGCCGAGGGATTGCTTGGCCACTCGGCAGCAGCCTCTGCCTTCTTGGTTAAGACACAATTGCACAACTCACAAGATATTTTCGAAAGAAACTGTCAGCTTCCTCCTGGGCACAGCTGGGAGCACCCCCACCCAGGGTCTTCAACAGCCTCAGGACTTTGGAAGCTAAACAAGAGCGGGTGGGGCGAAAAGGAAATGGAAACACAAAACTGTAAAGTGACCTAGTTTTATTTGGGCTGTGAGGGCCAGATGGGCACTGCTCCACTCTGCAGGGGTTGAGGCTGCAGTCTTCCTCTCAAGGTGGGAGCCCCAGCCACTGCAGGGCCCGGGCAGCAGGGGCGGGAGTTCTGTGGATGGTGGCTCTGCAGACCTAGTCCCAGGCAGTGGGTTGCACGAGGGGAAAGGGGAAATCAGGCAGAGGCCTGCAATGGCTCAGATTCAGGGGCTGCTGGGGGACGAGGAGAGGGGACGCAGAATCCAAAAGCCGGAGTCGGAAAGCGGGTCCAGTCTCCTTCACTTTACCGCTGAAGTTCAGGACAGGGAAGTGAAGGCAAATCGCCACCCCGCAGAAGGCAGGGCCTGGAGGGATGCCAAGCGTCCCAGCCCGGTGTCGGTCTCCGTGCACGAACCCGCGACTTCCATTCACCCTCACGGAGGGTGCGTGCCGGGCAGGTGTCTGGGTGCGGAGTCCGGTGAGCAATCAGGCCCTCTTCTTGTCTCAGGCACACCAGGGGGCACCGGGCCGACCACCCTCAGCAGCTCACCGAGCCGGCAGGGGGCGCCGACCCCAAATCCGAGAAGCAGTCAAACTCGCTCTGGCCCAGGAAGAGCTCCGGCAGCTCGCGCACGCGGTGCAGCCCAAGCTCCAGCTCCAGCGATGTCAGCGCCTCCTCGTCGATGAGTTCGGCGTCCATGCCGCCCAGGGCGTGAGCTGGGTGCTCTGCTGGGGGCCGGCGGGGGCACCGCCGGAAAGGGCTGAAAGGAGGATGGTGGTCCGAAGGCCCCGTAGGCCAGGGCCCCTGGTGGGGGTGGTAGCGGTCCCAGCGGAGCCCCCCGCGGCCGCAGCCCGCTGTCCAGGCCCGGTCCCAGGCCCGCGTACGGCTGCAGAGTCCGGAGTGCTTGAGGGCCGTGGGCGGGCACGGCAGGCGGCGGCCTCTGCACCAGGCGGTAGGGGCGAGCTGGGGGTGGGCGGCCAGGGCAGCTGGCCGGTTGCCTGCGGGTGCGGTGGGCTGATGGTCAGCGCGGGCGGCCCTCGACCCGGGCCAGCTGCTCTTCTGCAGCGGGAGACCTGGGCGCCTGTGCAGTCCCTGCCGCTCAGCCCGGCAAAGGAAAACCGAATCCGACCGGCGCCCCTTCCCAGTCTGGGACGCACCGACCTCCGCGCGCCCGCGTACGCCACAGCCACAGCACCGGGAAGCAAGAGCCCCACAAAACCAGCAGATCGAGTTCGGAGACCTCCGCGCGGCGCCCCGGGATTCAGCGCCTTCTTATAACCGAAGGCCGGACTGCCCCTTCCCCGAGCGCTCATTGGCTGCCCGAGGTGCTTCTGGGCAAGCCCCGCGCTCCTGGGTCCCAGTCTCAACCCCGCCCCCTGACGGAACTCCTCCTTTTGGGCCCTAGGCCCCGCCCCAGGCTATGAGTGCAGCCTTTGGGCGGGGCGTTTGGCACTTTCCCAGGGGCTCGGTTTGGCTTTCAGGCCCAGGCTCTGGGCTGGGCTGGGCGGAGCTTGAACAGACCCTAAAGTAGGGGGGAGGGCCAGGGGGTTAGGCCCCAAGAACTGCACGCTGTCAGGCTCATCCAGTCTCTTAATCTGCAGATGGAGACCAAGGTTCAGTGGCATTAGAGATTTCTTGGAAATACGCACCAGAGCCTTGATGGAAGTGTCACTCGAACCCAGACCTTGTGGTTGCCACATCTGCACAGGACACAGGAACCCAAGTTGTTCAGAGTCCTCGAGGGAAGTCTGTCAGTGCTCCCCGCCCTGCGGGCAGCCAGTCGCTCCTCCTCCTGCTCACGCTGCACTGGTGTGTTGAAGCATGCTCTGAGTTGCTATTAAAGTAATTTATGGGCATGTCTCCTGGACTTGTTCATCCTCTTATCCTCAGCACTTGGCCCAGAGCCTGGCCCAGAGCAGGCTTTTAGTAAGATCTGGGTGAATGAAAAATGAATGAATGAATTGCAAGTCATTCACCTGATTCTCAGTACTTTCTGGCTGCGCTCACCCCACTGAGTAGGTGTGAGGGATATGTGCAGGAGGATTGCACGGGGCCCAGCACAGGCCTGGCACTTGGAAGATGCTCAAAATGAATGAATTTGCTCCTCGAGTGAATGAAAAGCTGGACATAGCTCTGTCCTGAGGACCTAAGGCGTGAGAGTAGGCAACTTGGATGTTTAGAGTGCTTTCCACTCGAAAGCATCTTGTTGGGGGCAGGGCATGGTTATACCCCATCCTGCAGGTAAAGACTGAGGCACGCAGAGAGGAAGCAGCTGTCCTGAAGCCGCATGCAGCCAGAGGTAGCATGTGAACGCCGTGTTGTTTCCCAAGTCCTTAGAGCAGCTGGAGTCTTTCCTGGTGGCGGGAACCTTGCCCTCCACGCATTTGTCACTCTTTCCCTCCCTCCTCTGACTCTCCCCACCTCCTCTCCCTCCCCAGTACCGGTCTTGGGACTTCCTGGAACTTGGGTTTACCCAGCTGGTGCAGAGGGAGAGTCCAGAGGCCCAAGTCCTAATCGTATCTCTGTCATCTGTGGACTAGTCTCTCTGTGACCATGGGTGTTGGGTGAGGGCTGTCATGAGAGTCCCCAGAGCCTCAGCTTTCTGCTCAGTGAAAGGGAGAGAGTGACCCCTGTCTAGCCTCCCTAAGAGCTTGTAGGAGGGTCACAAATGACCATGGAAGTGATCATAGTTTTTTGCAAGTGTAATGCTACACTAGAACTGATTTCCCTGAGTCGCTCTCTGATTAAGGCTTCCAGCAGAAATTCCTAAACCTGGCTGTACCTCAGACTCATCTGGAGGTGTGTGTGCGGCAGGAAAGGGTTGGGTAGGAGGGGACTTTAAAAAATACAGAATCTCACCCTAAGCTCCTGACTCAAACTCTTTAAGGGTATTTTTGAATCATAAGGATTTGCATTTCTCAAAGTCCTTCTATTTCGATATAGTTGGTCTAAGGACCCCAACGCCAGCAGAAGTTTTCCTTTTAAAAAAGAATGTCTGTGTGCACGTTTTTAAAGGTTCTTTCATTTAGTCCACAGATATTTATCGGGCACCTACTCTATGCCAGCCACTGATCTCCTAGGGTTTTCAGCTTTCAAGATCACATAGACGTCTGAGACTCTAACGAAAGCTGCAGATGTCGTGTTCACCAACTACTGCCTATACATTCAGGGGCGAACAGCTTGGGGTGGGTCTGGGGTTTGTGGAGTCCTCCCTCTTAGGCATTTGGGGACATTTGGTAAACAAACTAAGTAAAATAATGACCCCCGTGTTAGAAAGTGACAGGTATAGTGGAAAAAAGGGAAAAGAGGGTAGGGGGGCGGGGGGATGGTATTGTTGCCCAGGATAGTCAAGGTGAGCCTTGGTGAGACCTGAGGTTGGAGCAGAGTCTTGAAAGAGGAGAGAGAGCAGCTTCGTGGTATCTGGGGCTTGAGTGGTCCCAGGAGAACGGGCTTCTAAGGGCTTCTAAGAGTGAAGCAGCGGGTGCCAGCAGGTAGCATGGTGGTCGAGGTGCTGGACTCCCACTCGGACGACTGCATTTCGAGTCCTGGACCTGGTGGTTTGAATATCATGTCTAGCACGTGTGTGTGCCCAAAATCCTGAAAGGAGACTGGAGAAGAGATTGCAACGTGGTTGTCCCCTCGTGGGGTGATTCCCCACTTTCCCTCTCACTGTCTCTGACTCTCTCTGGCCAGTGCAGGTGCCCTATGGCAAAAACCTAAAAAAAAAAAAAAAAAAAATCAAACAGTGAAGCATCAAGGACTGAAGAGTCAGATCAGCATTACTAGGGTGCTCCTTAGAAATGCCCAGTCTGGGGGCCAGCAGTTGGCGTAATGGCTATGTCGTTGGACTCTCGTGTAGTTGACTGCAGTTTGATTCCTGGACCCGGTGACTTAAACTCACTCTGGGTGTGCGTGCCCAAGATCCCAAGAGGAGAATGGAGGAGAAGGGATTGCGGCGAGGCCATCCCCCTGGGGGGTGATTTCTCGCTTTCTGTCTTTCTGTCTCTGTCTGTCTTTTTTGTTTTTTTTTCGCCTAAGGAAAACCCTCCCCCCCCCCCCAAAAAAAAAAAAAAAAAGGAAAAGGAAATGCCCAGTCTGGGGCTCCACCCCAGACTGAAGTCAGTTTCTGAATCAGAAACTGCACTGGCTCAACCCTTGCAATTTCCCAAGCCCTGCAGGTGCTTCTGATTCCAGACCCCAGAGTTAGGGTAACGCTTTAAGGCAGGTGTGAGCAGCAGCCATGAGGGACTGTGGCTCGTGTCAAGGGGTGCAGGGGAGGCTGCGGGGAGCAGATTTTTCTCTGGTCAGACTCATCGGCTCCCCATGTTTCCGTGAGCCACCTGACTCCCTGAGCACGTGTGTCCCTCGGGCCCTTGCTGTGCCCTCTGGGGTGCTCTTCTCTCAGACAGCCACACGGTTCTCTCCTTTATGGGCTCCGATCTTCATCGGCATGTCACCCCCTCTGAGAGGCCTGCCCTGCCCAGGTCTCCCTTTCTCCTCACGCTTTTCTTCTTCTCAGTCTTTCTACGATACCTGCACAGGGCTCCACGGTCAGTAGGAATTCAGTGAGCAGCTGCCGAATGAATAAATCAGGCACAGAAAAAGTTAGTATCTTTTTCTTTCTTTCGTCTTAAAATATTTGCTAGGGGGTGCATGTGCTTGCCAGAGACAGAGGGAGGGAGGAAGAGAAAGGAACCCGAGTGGGGGG